ATGACGTGGATAGGTCCTCGGTGTGAGCGAGCTATATCCACCCTGAAGGTTAATCTTGGACAATATCTGATGATCGACTCTTTTAAATGAAACCAGAGAGCGTTGACAGAGAGGAGAAGGTAGAAATGACTCAGCCTGGAACTGAAAATATGGATGGACGACAACAGAGCTGCTTCATGGGAGAAGAACCTCAACTACCTTCTACCTTCTCCTCTCTGTCAACGCTCTCTGGTTTCATTTAAAAGAGTCGATCATCAGATATTGTCCAAGATTAACCTTCAGGGTGGATATAGCTCGCTCACACCGAGGACCTATCCACGTCATCATTTACCCAGAATGCTTTGTGTGTAAACAAAATGGCTCCGTCCGTGTTAAAATATATATTTTAAAAATTTACAAAACGAAACAGCCTACAGTGTTTTTACGGTCATTATTTTACAGTTAAAATAAATGTTTATCAAATAAATTCTAATGTTACAACTAATCAGGGATCCCTTTAACATATAAATAAACTTAAATATATTCTAATTAACCACAAGAAAAAAAAATATACAAAGAATGGTGAGGACTCAAACTATGATCTAGAGTCAGTTTCAGACGTCCTGCTTTGTTCTGTCAGGAGTTTATAAATCAGTGATTTACAGGACTTTGGTTTAATGTTGGTCCTGATTATTTCAGAGCTGCAGGGCGGCAGCTGTGGTCACAGTCAGATATAATATGCCATCAGTCACAGAACAACAGCATCATATTTTTATCATATTTACTTAATTAAACAGTGAGCTCTGAGAAGTCATTTTGCTCCTTTAGTTTTCTTATATTGTGTCTGTTAGATAATTAGTTTTATTACTCAACAAACATGGGACTGGAACGGCTCTGAACTGCGTTTTTGTTGTAAGTCTTACCTTGACAGGGAGGATGGAACCATCGTATTCCAGATTAACGACAGCGACCGTCACAGCTGAGACGTCCTGCAGCAGCTGGATGAGAGTCTGCCACGAGTCGGGCAGAACGCAGGAGAGAACTGAGAACACAGAGAGGTGACGTCTGCTAACACTTTCCTTCTGGATTCTAGTTCATACAACATTTTACAACAGGAAAATTAAAAGGCTTACAAGTTTGGTTTTTTAACTTTATAATCTTTATTAGAGGAGCTGAAGGCCTTCATGTCAGACATCATACTGACCTTTAGCAGGTAGCGCAGAAATAATGTGGTCAGCTGATATTAATCCGTCCTCCAAATGGACCTGAACATAAACGGAAACTAGATTAAAGCAGAGCAGCTTTTGTCTTGTTGATCGTTCTAAAAGTGTTTTTTATTGGATTAAAACGGGGGTCAAACTCTTTCATCGAGGGCCACATAAGGGCCCTTGAGGGTCCACTTGTAATGAACTTTGACGTTTCATGTTTAACTTTGACTAAACTGTGTTCATCTTTTAAACTCTGACCAGAACTAAGTAATAAATACTACAGACATAATATTAAAAGTAAAACTAAGTTTTACTCACTGATGAGTTTCTAGTGAATAGCTGCCATCTTGAGTTCTGAACTCTCCTGTTTTCTGACAGATAATTCCCATGGATGATCAACATGCATTGTGGGAGATGTAGTTTATGGTGGAAGCTGACTTTAAAGCAGCTTATTTTCAGACTATCCAACTAAATTGCTCAGTTACTTACAGCCAACATCTCGGGGGCAGGACTATTGTTGTTGTTGTTGTTGTTATTATTACATTTTTAATTTTGTTTATTTTGTTGCATTTAATCATAAATTTAAAGTTTAACATTGATATAAGAAACTGTTTTGAGGCCTTGAGTTTGACACAAGAACAATTCACCTTCCTCAGATATATTTTATTTTTGTCATAAAAAATTAAAAAAACAAAACAGATTGTAAGCAAGAAAGTTAGAATGAAATGTAACTTGTGTACTAAAATATACATAATTATATTATAATTATTATACACTAAATAAGAACAAGTCTGATGGTGATATTACATTCTTTTTAACACTTTAGTTAACTATTATTATTATTATTATTATTATTATTATTATTATTATTATTATTTGCAGTAAAGGAAATACTCCTCTCATTCGATCTGATTAATAGAATTACTGCCAATTACTGAAATTATATAATTACTGTTAACAGAATTCATCAATATTTATTTTTTATTATTTAGCTCTCTCCTCATCTCCTCCTGCTGGATCCAAGACTCTCCCAGACCTGAGAGGGTACAGACTCCCTCCAGTAAGTTTAGGATGTCCTCCCAGTAGGACGAGGCTGGAAACCCTCTTAATCACACATCTGAATGATTTTAACTGGGTTTTAATGAGGAGCAGCTTTATTCCAAGCTCTTCTAGATGATGGAGCTCCTGCTCTTACAGAGGAAGCTTATTTCACTCTTGTATCTAAAATGTTTTTTTTTCATTCATGACCACATCAGAGGATTAGAAAACAGAGAATGTTGCCTTTCACCACAGACCAGAGCATCGTCATCATAACTGCAGCTAATCCATCTCCTCCTGTCTGCTGGTCTGTTTCATTTCATCCATCTTTATCCACTTTGTGGTTCAGGTTAGAGCTTTATCAAAATGTTTCATGTCTGTTAAACCTGAGTTCAGTCTTCTCACCAACCTTCCAGCCCGACGCCGAGGCCTCGATGTGTTTAACCGCCGTCTCCCTGTGAAGCTGCACTTTCCCGCTCTGCTGCAGGAACTCTGTGAGAGACTCCGGGAGAGACTCCACGCCCCTCCTCAGAGACCACTGGGCCCAGGACTCTTTCACAGACCTCTGAGCCAGAGGTCCAGGGGAGACAGCAGAAGTTGAACCTGTTGGGTTTTTTTTAAGCATTTTAAAAAGCAGACAGGAGCTTCAGTCGTTCTGTGAATCAGTTATTAACAGAAAGCAGAGGCTCTCTGAGAGAGAGAACTGGACGATGAGTCAGAGGTGCACCTGAGCCCAGCAGAAGTCCCAGAGTCAGGGAGCCTCTCTCCTGCTCTGCCTTGTAGAAAGGAGGAAAACAGGAGCGCAAACTGAGCTTCCTGCTGTCCCCCGCAAACACCCCACGACACAGACTGTCCACAGCGATGTCCGCCAGCTAAGATACAGAAGAAAAATATCAAATATATAAACAACTGTTGTTTGTACAGCTACATAAATTACTGAGGACAGGAGAGATCTTCACTGCAACAACCTGTTCACTGTGACAGGACAGGAGCATTTATACACAGAACACACCACCACTCTATATCACTACGCCTGTGGCAACAGCGATCCGCATAGAAAAGTAGATCCATACACAACAAGAATAATATGACCAGTGATAAAAACCAGCCCCTTGTTCTACGCTTTGCTACGTACAGAGGGTCTGCACTCTCAGCTACTGAGACACGATTCTTTAATTCAGAACAAAATAGAATAAATCAAAATCAGGATAAAACTTAAATGTCAGTCTTAGAGCTGATTTACGACACTTTGCTGTGCCGCAAAGCTGATCCTGGACGATGTCGTTACAAAACCCACGAACCAATCACTGCATCGGATTTCATGTCCAAGAATATTCTTTCAGAAATGTCGAGGTAAAACAGTGAAAATCCTACAATAACTTCACATTTAGTTCATTAGTTTTTACACGTCTTGTACTGGTTGTGTTCATCATGCAAAATGAAAGAAATTTGTAATTTACAGAAAATCTCAGATTACTTCAAATTGTTTTACATCTCAGAGCCCCTTCAATCCCAGGTTCAATCCCACCTAGACTAGTGCAGACAAGAAAAAAAACATTCAGACTTTAGACAGCGTCATGTCATCTGCATTCACTCACCAGCTCCAAAAGCTGCACACAAATATCACCTTTAAGTCTAACATTATTGTAGTGGTCACCCTGGGTGGAATAAAAGTTCCACCTGCCTTTGACCTTGACCACGGAAGGCCTCCTTTAAAGAACAGAACTCTGTTCATTTTTTATGGTCATAACATGTTTTCTTAAACAATTAAGGGACATTTTATTTCATTTTATTCTCTATAATCAAGATAATAAACAAAATAGTAATGTTCTTTATATGTTTTGACAAAACATGTTATGACCATAAAAAAATGAACAGATTTCTGTTCTTTAAAGGAGGCCTTCCGTGGTCAAGGTCAAAGGCAGGTGGAACGTTTATTCCACCCAGGGTGACCACTACATTCCCTTAAGATATCTTGAATAATTCTGACTAGCCAAAACGTCACAGATTTTAGTAGTATTTTGGCGGAAAAAGTACTACATAGACATCATAGCTAAACATAAAGACCGTAACATTTCACTGCAGCCGCCATCTTTGATAGGTCCTCATCTTAAAT